GGGGTTCTCGGGGCTGGTCACTCAGCCGATCAGGGGGGGGAAGGAGGAGGGCGCACTCGGTGTTGTCAAGGGTTTGGCGAAGGGGACGGTGGGATTGGTGACCAAGGTTCCTTCGGCTGGATTGGGGCTCGTCGCGTATCCATTCCAGGGTATTGTGAAGAGTATCGAGTCGTCGGTTAGGTCCAAGACGAGGAAGGCTATTATCACGGCGCGACTACGGGATGGGTATGAGTTGAGCAGACGGGAGGAAGTTTCGCAGGAGGAGAGACAGTTTGCCCTGCAAAAGTTTCAGAGTCTTTTGCGTGGTACAGATACATAAGATGATCTAGTCGTAATTATAGTACCTTGCATCAGGGAACCCGGGACTGCCTTGAAATAATCGACACCGATAGGGACCAGGTAGAAGAGAAAGGGAGTGACTCATCCATGCCTTTTCCTACCCCGTATAGCATTTCCTCTAGAATCGCTACGAGCTAGAATCATACATTTGGTGCATGGTCTGTCCTCAAGACGCTACATGAAAGCCAACCAGCCACAGCTTTCATTTTCGCGTTGTCCATGATTGTGGAATGTGGATCTTGTTGAGATTATGAAACAAAGGCGCCAAGAGATCCGCTCGTATACGTATCTTTTGCCCGAACAAGGAACAATATCTGAACCCCATTCTATTTTGGTCCCAGGCCCATAATGCTAGACAGATGGCAGTGTCTTGTGGACCCTGTGAGCCCCTGAGAAAATCCAGTCACAACTAAACCTAAATCGACCAACATAACGAACACGAAGGCAACGCCTCCCGTCAGCATGAGTGCAAGGCAGGCTGTTCTCGATATAAGAAGCAGCTCACGACACATCAACATGGCAGCCATTCCAAGCTGCCGTCACCATGGCAGAAACGCAATGGAGAGCATACGCCTACTATCCCTCAGCCGGGGGCGCAACCGTCATGGCGTTGCTGTTCCTCGTCGGCACCCTGATCCAAATATACCAACTCATCCGGACACGCGCATGGCTGACGATCCCAATCATCATCGGAGGACTCTGTACGTCTACACCGCAACAATATCGCGCCATGGCTAACCTCACAGTTGAAACAACCGGCTACATCGGCCGCATCATGTCCGCCCGCCAATCCCCGGACTGGACGACAGGCCCCTACATCATGCAAAGCACGACGCTGCTCATCGCGCCGGCCCTCTTCGCCGCAACCATCTACATGGTGCTCGGCCGCATCATCGCCCTCGTCCAGGGCGAGCCGCACTGCCTCCTCCGCCTGCCCTGGCTCACCAAGATCTTCGTCGTCGGCGACGTCATCTCCTTCCTCATGCAGTCCGCCGGCGCGGGCATCATGGTGCAGTCGCACTCCACCACCGACCGCACAGGCGAGCACGTCATCATCGGCGGCCTCCTCGTGCAGATCGGCTTCTTCTGCTTCTTCATCGTCGTGGCGGTGCTGTTCCAGCGGCGCATTGACCGCTTCCCCACGCCGCGCGCGGTCTCGGTCTCCCCGCCGATCCCCTGGCGGAAGCATCTCTTCGCGCTGTATGTGACCAGTTTCCTAATCCTGGTGCGCTCGGTGGAGCGGTTTGTGGAGTATGCGCAGGGGCAGGAGGGGGGGTTGATCAGCCATGAGGTGTATTTGTTTGTGTTTGATGGGGTGCCGATGCTGCTGGTGTTGGTGATTCTGGTTCGGGTGCATCCGAGTGAGATGAATGCGTTGCTCGGCAGGGGGAGAGTAGCAGCTACGAAGACGGGGTTGAGTTTTAGGGATGTGTCGCCGGTGGTATGATCATCCTATCTTACAATATTGATGTTTGAATATCCTTTATGTACAGTGTTAAAAGGAGTAGACTGCAAGTTTGACGCTAGTGTCCACGCTCCTTCTTGCTCTGCAGCTTGCCGAACGGCAGCATCCAGCTATCCCACATGGCACCGTCTCCGTCCGGGTTGGGGATGTTAGTCAGGTTCCAGTTTTGCTCGAGGGTGGTGAGCTGGGAGAAGTCTGTGTATGTTAGCGCTTGCCCGCTCCGCTCCGCACAGTATGATGTACGTACGGTTGTAGAACTGCTGGTCAATGCAGTTGTAGCAGGCCAGGGAGTCGTTGCCGAGTAGCACGCTGTAGACGTCGTTGTCGGTTCCGTAGAACTGGGGCGAGTAGATATCTATTTCCTTAGTCTCATTCATCGTATCGCCAACGCATGGAAAACATACCGTTTTCATCAAAAGTCACCAGGATAAGCGTATCCTTCATGAACTCCTTGTTGGTGAGCATAGGGTTAAGGATGGACTGCACGTCTGTGGTGGTGTAGGAGATGTTGGTGTCGTGGGCGTCGTTGGCCAGGTTCGGAACGTAGAACATGTAGTTCGGGGCGTGGGCTCCCAGAGCTACATCCTTGGAGAAGTGCTCCTCGGCGTTGACGATGTTGCGGCAGCGGGCGGTGCTGTTGCGGATGTTGTCAAAGGACATGAAGGGGTTGTGCTTGCTGTGGGGTCTTAGTTTCAGTGGAAAACATATCGAAGATGGCCGTGAACGCACCGCACGTAGCCGGAGGTCTTGTTCTTGGAGATGGGGTTGCACTCTCCGCCGGCGAGGGGCTGGTAGCCTTCCATGTATGCCTTCCAGGTGAGGCCTTTCGTCTGATCAGCAACTATGCTTTGCACTAGGGAGCGGTTGGATGCATACCGGCCGGCTCAAAGAGGTCGACCAAGCTCATCTGGGTGGTGTTGTGGTCTGCATCATCGAAGACACCACCGGCGATAGTGCTGGTGATCATGGAGATGTAGTTGGGCTGAGAGGGGTGAGTGGTCCCTAGACAGTCGGCAGCTGCGCAACGAGTAAAATCGCTATAGCCTACCCTTGTAACCGTCAAGGAGCATGCCCATGTTGGTCAAGCTCTGATAGTATTCATTGCCGAGAGCAGTGGCCTTGTTGGTGTTCTCAAGGACGACCACCACGAAGCCTGGACATATTAGCATCATAGAGCGGGCCAGTTGAGACGGTAGCATACGGTCAAACCACTTTCCCGAAGGAGCAGACTTGGCAGTGGTAGGCAGGGCCGATGCTGTGGCAGTTAGACCAGCAAGAAGAATGCTAGCCGCGAACTTCATCTTGACGGTGTAGGACTAGGGAGTAGGGATGAATGAATTGAGTCAGGACAACCGTTGACGATCAACTCAGTCTTGGAGAGAACCTTTATATGATCGTCATTGGGACATTACATGCAGGGCATTGGACCCTGACTGTAGGCTACAGACTACAGTAGACAAACTGTATTTGCCAGGGACCCAGGGACCAGCGTTATCCGTAGAACTCTGTTCTCTTCATAGTCCTGTCAACGCTGGGACCTGGGAGTATGGCCTTCTCCATGCTAGAAGAAATCTAGAAGGATGCGATGTGGCCACTGGCCAAGAATCAGGATTGGAGTTATCCAGCGGTGTCATAATCCATAACCAAGTTGTTGCCTAGAGAAAACAAGACATCCGGACAAGATATCGTCAGGCATTATCAGCCACCAATTACCTTGACTCTGTTGATGCTGCAGTGAGGCCATGCTCGAATGGTCAGATATGATTGGCCAGTGCAGGTAGACAGAGCACAAAGAGCCAGCCAATCATATTACAGACTGAAAAGAGTGCTCACTTCTGCATGTTTTGATTGGCTGATTGTAGACCTGTACCATGGATGGAGCCAAGTAAAGCTTCATAAAGCTTACCTAGTGTGTGCATTTCCATGCTTGCCTTCTTCAAGGTTGTTCCTGTTCCTGATGATAAGTAGAAAACATGATGCCAATCCGCGGTTCTGACTTCCACCATGCTATCTTGAGGAACATCCACGACTAATGAAGCAGTACAGACGGCGATCTCAATGTAAAAGCACCTCACTCCACACACTGCTCGATCAGTGCTCGGAAACCGGCACGAAATGCAAGATTGCGATTGCATTGATGGCCCCGAGCGCATTAGATATCCACTAACCGGTAGACAGTGTCCGATAGGTGTGCTAACAGTAGCTGACGCAGGATTCTGCCTGTAGGATTTGACGATCAGCGCATGTGCTGCCCAGTGTCACTCTTCATTTGTTCGTCCTGTTCGGTAGGCATATCACATTCATAGTGGTGGTATCAACAAGGATAATCGAGGGACTCGCATTAATATAAAAGACGTCGAAGCAGGTCAATGGGTGAAAAGTAGCAAGCAAACTACTCTTTCATTCATCATGAAGACCAACACTTTGGTGCCCTTGCTCGGTCTTTCCAGCACCGCTGCTGCTGCGGCCGTGGCTGCGTCCGGCAAAACCCCCTTTGGATATGCCTCTGGCTCCAAGGAGTCCATTGCCAACCTGAAGGACAAGATCGAGAATGTCGTTTGGATTCTGCTGGAGAACCGCAGTTTCGACAACATCCTGGGTGGTGTGAACCGCAAGGGTCTGGACAACGTTGTCAACAACGGCCCTTTCTGCAACCCCCAGAATGTGACCGACCCCAGCAGCACCAAGTGGTGCAGCGTCTACAAGGACTTTGACTCGGTCCAACACGACCCTGATCACTCGATCACTGGTTACAACATGGAGCTGTATGGCACCTACACCCCCAACAACGCTGCCGTCGCCAACGGCACCCTGAAGCCCAGCATGAACGGCTTCGTGGAGCAGCAGCTGGTGCACCACAAGGGCATTGCTCCCAAGCTGGCCGACGAGGAGGTCATGGGATACTACTCCGAGGACGAGATCCCCACTCTGGTCAACCTGGTTGATGAGTTCACCACCTTCAACTACTGGCACTCATGTGTCCCTGGTGTAAGACCCCTCTGCTCGTGAGAGTTCAAGTGATACTGACGAGAATAGCCCACCAATCCCAACCGCCTGTGCGCCATCTCTGGTACCTCCGATGGTCATGGCCGCAACGACAACAGCTTCGACGTCTCTGGCGTCGACATCTCCAGCATCTTCCAGGTTGCCAGCGAGAAGGGCATCACCTGGAAGGACTACGACGGCACCAACGGCGCCTTCCTCGCCGACGCGCTGTTCTTCAACTGGACCGCCCAGAACGCCAAGCAGAACGTCGTCCCTCTGGAGAACTTCTACCAGGACGCCTACCTCGGCCTCCTGCCCCAGCTCTCCTACATCAACCCCTCTTGCTGCGACCTCGACACCAACTCCATGCACCCCTCCGGCAACGTCTCCTTCGGCCAGGTCCTCGTCAAGCAGATCTACGATGCCGTCCGCACCGGTCCCCAGTGGGACAAGACCCTCCTGCTCATCACCTTTGACGAGACCGGTGGTTTCTACGACCACGTCCAGCCCCCTCTCGCCGTCCGCCCGGACAACAAGACCTACACCGAGACCGCCGCCGACGGCAGCTCCTACACCTTCAGCTTTGACCGTCTGGGCGGCCGTATGCCTACCTGGCTTATCTCTCCTTACACGCCCAAGGGACACATCGAGAACTACGGTGTCGACCCTGTCACCGGCCAGTCCGCCTCGTACAGTGCCACCTCCGTGCTCAAGACTCTGGGATACCTCTGGGATCTGAAGGACTTTACTCCCCGTGTCTCGCACTCGCCTGCCTTTGACCATCTGATTGGTCCTCACAAGCGCAATGCTCCTGCGACCCTGGCGAACCCCCACCCTTTCCCTGATGCTGTTTAAACAGATCATATCAAAAGCTAGTTCGAATCAAAATACTGCCTTGAGATTTAAGCATCCATCATCCCTCTTCTTCGCCTTCTTGTATGATGTTCTCAATCTGATGATTTGAAATATGACCTTGTGTACGAGACAATTCATGTTCCGATGATATACAAGTCCGATGTTTGGAATAGAAAATAATCTACAATAAACAAGAGTAAATACCATCTTTCTTTTCGCACCTACTATGAGTATGTCCATACTCAATAACAGCAGCAAGCCTCCGAGGAAAGACTCGTATAATACTCGGTCTATAAAGTCACATAGTTATGGAGCCAGGCTCACTATCGGGACTGTTGAATTGAGCAATGGGCGCATTTCTGTGTACCGCGCTGGAGGAAATATAGCATGGAGATTCTAACACTCCTTGCTCGCAAGCGAGTGTACGTGTTTACCCTGTCCGTGAAGACCTTCCCGTCCAGACATCTATCACTAACGCCCTGTCCTTTTCGCATTGGCGGGTTTCTGTCCGGTAACCACATGGAAATTAGAATAGAGACGCATGTTTTCCTGCTAACACGGGCAGGAGCACATCTGTATCCTCTTCCGACCAGGCTAATGTCCGAGTGAACAGTCGCAGAGAGTACACCTCTAGTCTTTTCAACTGCTGCCATGAGTAAGATCAGAGCAAAGACGGATGTCATGTTCCTTCACTTCCAACCATCGCCCAGGGACAAGATGCTCGTAAGCAGCCCACCCGGGGATTTCAGACCATGGTGCAGTCGTGCGATTGCCATAGACAAGTCCGCGATCGACCAATACTTGGATAGCCCGATGGTTGTATCGCCTGTACCACGGGTTTGGCGGTTATATACATGCAATAGCATTGCATGAACCTATTCTATGGCTTCTACTACTCTGCAGGCTGCCAACTGCGGTCTTATACATGACTGCACCAAGAATCTGGTAGAGACAACCCATGGATTTCCACCTATTGCGCTTAAAGACCTCAATAGTTAAAATTTCCCAATATCCTATCAACAAATGGGCTTGTGGTTTAGTGGTATAATACCCCCTTAGCATGGGGGTGGTCCGGGGTTCGATTCCCCGCGAGTCCATTTTTTACCTTTTTCCGAATGACGTGCAAATGCCACTTTTTGCCCATCTCAAACCAGCTTTAGTTAGGACTTAGAGAACTGTTTGTTCTTACTTCTATTTTCATTTGTATGTAGTGGCCCGGTCTGGAGCATTCAGATTTGTTAATTGTGATAGACTTGGATGAGTCGGTGAGGACGCAATGTGCAGGAGGATATAACATCTATTATAGTATTCTCCCTTCAACAGAAGATATTCCTAAGATAGGTATAAGCCTTGAGTGGGACAATATTGCTCTTGGTATATGTCTTCGATCGACTCCTCAAAGATATGTAGAGATCGGACGACTTGTAGATCTTTTGGTGCCAGTTAGATGCATCCTTGCTGAAAGACAGGCTACATTGGTGGCCTGAAACTTGGGTCTAGTGGATATGATGGTGCGATGACACTACTAGAGTCAGATTGGGCACCGATTTAAGCCCAACTGGTAATAGATAAAAGATATTGTTCAGCTGCGCTCGGAGCGCGTCACTCATAATGGGCGTATATAACAGTGTACAGAGGCAGCATTTATTTTATCTGGTCCATTCATTCATCCCAGGAACTTTCCGTACAGGCATTTCTTCGACCCAAAATATAGCCATGACAGTGTCCTCTACTATCCATTTGCACGCTTACTATGGCACTGAATTAACCCTGGAGAGCACCCGAAACGACTCACGGAATGGAAAATGGGACCCAGAGCCACCCGGCCAAGTTAAGGCTGGTCACGCTGCGACATTTGGAATTAAAGCTGAGCCTGGTGTGTACCAACTCTTCTGTTATGTATCTGATCTGAGACATTGACTTCTGAAGGTTCGAATGCCGCGGGCGTTGTGAGATACAAAATTAATGATTCCGGGAACAGCACCCTGGAAATCAGATGGAATTGCCCAGGAGACGGGAAAGTCAACTGGGTAAGCGGAAGTACGAGCGACCCTTCACGGTGGAGCGTTGAAGAGAAGGATCGTACACGAGATGGCCCCCTCGAGAGTAAGTCTTTGGATCTCTGACACAAATTAATTGTCCGAGACAAATAATCATTCCTTGTTGATGACAAGCCACCCTTTTGCTTCTTGAGAAGTGAAATGCCTTTCAAATTAGAGCAGCTTGCAGGTAGAATTCTGGTGCCGTCCAAGATTTCTTTGCGCCTTGGATCCGTCACATGGAATTATTATGGGCTCTGTTGCGATATCTCTATAGTACCCTAGTTCTAGATCTGCACGTCGTTCGCAGTTTAGTTTAGTTGAAGTTTTCATGCATCACCAACTGATCACCTGCGAATCTATGCCCGTAGCAATATAGCGATACAGTGGCTTGCGAATTCTGAATCATCTGCTCAGCCAGCCATAGGACTTTGGGACGAATCCTGGGTTACGGACTGGAGGTGAAATTCTTACTATCACCAAGCCCCTTCCACCCTGGCAAAGAATCACAGGATGACACGAGTGGCTCTCAATGAAACTGACGGTCTGGTTCTTGTCTGTGGCTGGCTGAACAGACCATTGCATGAATCTGGCAGCCTGGGCCAATAGGATACGATGCTAGGGCGTTCGTCAATGCTGGGCTGGCAGGGTTAAGGTCTGGTACTCGATAACTATATCTGTTTTGAGCAAGTGTCATGGATGAAAACCTGATCCTGCTGGTACACTTGTTGAAGCCTAGCAGGGTTCTGATCCTCCGCCATGAGTACCGGACTGCCAGCAAGCCCCGTCCGATGCTATATGCCATCTCGACGAGAGTATGGAAAATGGCAAGAAATGCTTGTGATGAGGAGGAGGAGCTTTACATTAGTCTATAAGACTAGAGCCTGCTGTGTTATATAAAAGCTCGCCAATTCTCTTTCATGAACCAAGTCTTCATACCCAATCTCGCCCACCTCAGAGATACTTGGACTCTTAAGGCTTATTTCATACATAGCCCAAATATTTGAACTTTCACCTCAGTTTTATTCATCATGCCGACCTTCCAAGGTGAACAGGTCAACACGACCAACCCAGACCCGTATGATCAGATGTTGGTTCTCAGCCAGGAAACCATCAATAGCTCCCTCGAGCGTATGTGGAAGCATGATCAAAGAAAGAAGGGCCTGGAAGAGTCTCCACTGGTGCATTTTCCGTTTACCGACAGGTCAAAGACGCCTCCACAATACATCAACGCCTACTTTCACTATCCATACCATCTTTCCCGTGAGCTCATCAAGTTTTGGTCACTTTCCATTTGAGGTGTGAAGGCGAACTTTCAAATTCAAACACAGTGCCATTCACCTCTAACACAGCGCTATTCACTTCTAACTGCCCCAGTAGACTGACCAATGTGCCATCGTCCTATACACCAGGTTAAATACGGGACTAGAGTATCTCATAGAGGGTATGCTCACCCATGCAGGTCCCGCTGTGACTCGTGCCAATGGTGACGGGGTTGGCCTGGAATGTCCGAAACGGCTTGGAGACGAGGGGTTAGATGTAAGTCGGTGGGTTCTCAGTCGTCTCCGGATGTCACTGTCAATGTCCGTTCGATATTTCTGCAGGGCCCAATACTGAATGGTGTCAAGCATGCGTCGGAGTTGCAGCGCGTTCCAGAGCTTATCCAATCGCCCATTCCAGATGCATCTCATTCGCTGGATGCCCCATCAGCAACGACTTCACTTCGAGAAGATTGAATCACACTCACATATAGAATGATTGGCTCATCGTCGTCATCTTCGTCATCACTTTCGGCCCCGACAATTGGCTCCGCGTAGGTCAGAAACACTCTGGCATTTCCGCCAATGAAAGTCAAGGCAACCACTGGATGATGGTACTCGTGCGCTGGGCTGTCTGATAGTCCCCGAAGTAATGCGACGCAGGCAGAACTACTGTTTGCCGCCTGATAATAACATTTGCGGATCTCCTGTTGCGTTGCGCCAGGTTTTTTGACTTCAACCACCGCCCATGGGTAACAGGTCAGCTTATCATCTTTGTGGGAGGGCCCTGTTTCAATATCGGATGCACCATTCGTTCCGTCTGTGTCTTCACCTCCAGCAACATCCACATCCTTCCTCTTGTGCTTGTAACCACAGTGGGGTGTGATCTCTTCGTCGTCCAGACTGCCCTCACTGCTGTCCTCTTCTTCACTCTCTGGCTCATAGTCCTCGTCTTCGGACGTTGCATGATCGTGCTCATCAGACTCATTCGAATCACTGTCTTCGAGTCCCGTGCCTATATGCTTACTACCTGGTTTGCGTCGCTTGGCTTTCGCGCGCCGTGAAGCCTTTTGAATGTCCGCGCAATGCTTATTCAGCGACATCAAGGGGCATGAATGCAATGCCTCGGACTCTTCTAAGAGGCTCAGGTTTGTCAATGAAAATACCGCATGAGTATGTCCTTTGTCCGTCTTTTGAGGGGAGCGCATATCATTGTGTATGCGAAACCCAAAATACCAGTCCGGCCTGGGAACTGACAGCATCTCTCTCTCTTGCAATGGCTTCAGCGAACGGCAGAGGAAAATCGTGAGTACCTATATCAACTCATTGCGGCGGAACCATTCTCTTACCTCGGCGACAGAGCAATGATTGTGCCAGTCATTGCGAACATGCCATGCTTGGCGGAAGGACTCCGTGTCTCGGCCGCTGAAGGAACCCGAATAACGTCAGTTGACCGTATCTGATAGTTCACCGAATCGGGCCCGGGCTTACAACGTGGTCGCGAATTCGCCATCAAACCGACTATGACTCGAGCTGATTGAGCTGATCAGTGGCTTCTGCATATTAGGTCTTGGGAAACAGAATGCGTACGTTTGATCTGCATGCTTCGTCCATTCCGTAAATACATAGTCGGCGAGCTTTTGTCCTAGTTTGCTTTCGTTCATTCCCTTGTACTTCCACTCCGATGCAGATTCGTACTTGGAGCATTTAGAATAAAATTAGTCATCCATGATAGATCTTTCTTGCGACTGGGGAATGTTCTCCGTACAAGTCTATACGCCGCCTTCAAGTTTTTCAGATGCCTCTTTGTGGCCTCACTTTGTGGAAGGACGCTGTCTTTATTACAGGCCATTTCTCCGTTGAACCACCCATCTCGACCGGCCTGTGGTAGTTCCTTGTAGAGGCTGACCAATAGATGAGGATCGAGGCACTTTCGCGCGACCTTGTCGTGGGTATGGAGTCAGCGTTTTCGACAAAGAACCACCTTGCGGACAACGTAGAACCCTACCTCTCTGGGCGGAATGATGCAGTCAAACGACAGGATGCGATCTCTGATTTGCGCAATCTCGTCTGGCCAGCCGTCTTCGCTGACCTCCATCTCGATAGCGATGCCATTGCGTCGAAGAGCATCAGGATTGAGCTTTTTTGTTGCCGGGGCCATGGGATAGAGCGCGTAGAGAAAGATTATGATGACTAGACAGTGTCCTCGAGATACCTTGGAGAAGTGCTTTCCTTTTAGCCCCGGGATTTGGTGCTGACGCGATTGTTCTTGTGGAAGTTGCGGCGCAGGCTGTGCTGGCTAATCCCTGTCAATGCAAGGATATGTTACCACCGCGCTTTACTGAATAGATAGGCACGGCTCGTGGAAATGCCTCGTTTTTCCTGCACGACCGCGGGGTAAATGCATGCCCTGACTTCCATACGCATGCGAGAACTGTATTTAGCCCGAGTCCAGGTCATGAGGGCTTTACTCCTCACTGTTTAGCAGGCGGAGCTTCGGACAAAGCCGTAGGTCCAACAGCATTCGCTGCTATCAAAATCTCACGAAAAGCCCATGCTTTTTCGGGACTGTTCTCAAAGATTCTTACCCCGATCCCCTGTCTCATTATCGTAGGACTAGATTGTCTGGAACTTGACGCGAAAGGAGAAATCGACCCTCCCTATCTGCATCAGGCAACGGTTCTTAACTTCGCCGGATTCGGTTTCGTTGGAACTGAGTCTTTATCCTTTAATCATCATTCACCTACTGGCCATATATTTCATTATTAAGATGGTGTCTGGACCATAATAAGTGCTTCAATGCCATGAAATTCTTGAAGGCACCTTCAGCCCAAGTATGATACATTATCTCAAAACATAAACGATGTACTGCCTCATCTTCTAACGGCAGAGACAGGCCGTACCTCAAAGCTGCGGACATTGTGCAATGTTATCCCTTCACCTAGCCCTTTGCTAGCCTCCTTGATCCGCTGGTACAAGGCTTCATGACCAAAACACTCACCAATCGCATCCTCAAAGCTGCCACGACCGTCCTTCCAGTTATAGAACAATGTCCCTCCCGGCCGGCTCTGAATCTCCCACCGCCGCTGGACATTTGTCCCCGCATACTCCAACCGCAGATTCGGCGGCGGGTCAACAATGACATACAGCACCGCTGGCCAATAGGGCCACTCGAACATCTCATGTAGTACAGAGGCGCTGCTAAGAACCTGTGCTTCGGGCACAGCGATGCCCCCCAGCTCCAGAGCATAAGTGCTGACAGACTGGTCTAACATTTCCGGCGCAAACATCCGATCATACGGCTCGCAGAGGAAGCCGTCCCATTGATCGAGCGGGACGTACAGCACATCGTGTTCTGGGTTAAACGGGCGCGCAAAGACGGGAGACTGGTTGCCGGAGAAGCGCATTGAGATCTCCTGCTCGCGACACCAGGCTAGAGCGATCCTGCGCGCCTCACGGTTGACGAAATACAGCGGGACCTCGACCTCGACATGGTCGAGTAGTTCGGGGCGGAAGTAGAAGTGCGGGTGGGAGGGGTCGGTGGGGTCGTAGCCTTGCTCGGATTCGGATAGGCGTCGCAGGTGCCAACATCCTTTTTTGAAGAAGATTAGGGCGGGGCTGTCTTTTTGTGGGAGGGCTTCGTGCCAGATTAGGATGCGTAGCTCTGGGGGGAGATTGGAGAAGTGAGGAAATGTGGGGGGAGATGCTGCTGCTGCGGCCATGTTCTCTGATGTTCATTATATTAAATGTCTTGCGGGGGATATCTTGAACCCTCTGCTGTATTTAATCACTGGTTGTAGCCTAATTTATGAGGCTAAGCCACACTTGATCTACAATGTAAGACGAAGTCTGCTGTGGCTCATGAGTCATGGCATGTCATAAATGCACTCTGGTGTATCTAGTGTATGCTGGCTTACCCAGTAGTACTGGTTTTGTGCCCTGTTGGTTACTAGCAGCTCCGAGACGCAGATACAAAGTCTGCAGAGCATGGATGCTTGGCTCACATCCAGGAAAACGCAACCATGAGCTGAAGGCTAATAAGGACAGCAATGGTTATGTTTGAGTGAACTAGACCCAGAAGTGGGTAACAAGGCACAGCCACAGGTCTGAGCACGAGACGATGCCTTTAAACTGTTCACATCCCTCCCACAAGTTGACTGGATTTGAAGATTGGCACTTTGAAGCAGAGAAATGCTCCTGCAATTCGGCCCTGGCGTAGTTCTTGACCACAATGTCTGGAAAGTGCAGTTACAACTGTGTGGATCACCCTTTGAAGGTCCAATTTGATCACGGCATACCAGTGCTGATAGGCCTCCTGTAGGTCCTGATCAGCTATGTTGCCAGTGCTGGAGTAGCAGTCATCATCATTACTGCTTATTACTTTCTTGCGCACTGCCCTGATTTGAATCCGTTCCAATCCAGCAATGGCGCAGTCAACCCTAGCCTTCCTTCTGATGTGCCATTTAAGCCAAATCCAGTTGATCTGATGATTTTGAGGGTTGCTGGAAGAGTACAAAAGCACTCACAAAAGATTCCAAAGACCAATCCATGGACTCATCTCGACCAGCCATTAATGAAGGTTAGTTGTTACCATTCCGACTCCTCTTTGGCTATGGGCTATTCTGATAAATCAAGTGTATGTTAGCTATGAGAGATCTACAAATGTCACCGGACTTGCTATTTTAATCAGTGGATATGCCCAGCTTCCTTGTGGCCTTCATCTTACCATTGGTTGATTGTGGGACGCTTGGCCTGGTTCTCCAGCCTAACACATTATGAGTTCAAGCCTATAATTTCCATCTGTCGGATTCACAACTAATGATATCTAGGTTTACTGGCTTATTTTGGCTTCCTCTACGGCCCGTTTACTCTCCTTGCAAGCCTGAACACATTCCGCAAGGACTCTATTCCCGAGTTTGACTCGATGGACACTGACCACAGTGATGGAGCTTTGGACAGGTAATGGCGGTTGTGCTTCTCGCCACCCCGCTGAAAATTATATTTGAATATTTGCACCCAGGTAAGGTCTAATGAAACTTGCTGAAACCTGCAGAGACTGAGTACCATCTTCTGCTGAGTGAGAAAGTGCACCAGGTTGCGAAAATCTAACGGCTCCTCCGAACCATTTACTGCAAGCAGGCGATGGGCCACAGGCCTCCATATGTGATGCTGCTGAGATGGCACGACCAGAGAACTCCTCAGCGTTCAGGCCTGATTATGATTACTACCGAAAGTCAACTGCTCTAATGGTTAGTACCATATATATCATGCTCGCGGAAGCCGGCTTTGGTTTATATGTGATCATCCTGGCTGTTGCGCGTAGTTCAATTCTGGGTCTTTTCACTTTGGTCAAACTTAATTTGGTATTATTCTACTTTTTTTGTGGTTGATCATCTGTTTGTCTTTCAAGATCGATCTCGCCGCCTGGAACAAGAAGAAGCGTCTTCATTCCGTCTTGCAATTTTTCAACTTGCTGATTCTCAGTATTTTGGCTGCTTGGAGTGTTTATTCCACAGCACAATAATTGTTTCCGGGAAATACCAGAGTTGTTAGGCTCAGAGTATCTATAAGTCTCATATTAATAAGATTTTTAGCACAATGTACAAGTATCTCAGTTAGGTGAAGAGTATGAAATGCGGGTTACAATCCTTGTCAGATTTTTGTCACGAGAGAACAACGAGGCCAGAGAAGTGCCACTATTTACTATGACTATATATAAAGATAGCTGAAGTATACACAATCCAAGCAGAGTCAAGATGAAATGGACTCCATTACAGATTGTAAGTGTGAGAGTCAATATCAATAGTAGCCACAATCCAGGTCTTGCCTCCATCCGAAGTAGTCAACCCCGAGGAGCTAGCCTCGTTGATGGCAAGGGTGTTGCCGAACGAACTATCAGCCGAGTTCAGAATGATGGTAGTATCAAGATATTCTACACTCATCAGTATTGCCACTGCCCCTGCCCAAGAGAAAGTAACTTACGGTGAGCAGCCACGGTGCTGTGGCACGCATCATCCTGGCATTCGACGGCTGTCCCCCAGCCTTGAGCCTGACCGGAACCTGCGCTTCTCAGCATCATCCACCTGCAACGAAGGGGAAACTCACTGGTGGATAGCGTGGACACGACCTCCCCGTTGATGGCGACGGTCTGGTCATACTTGCCCGTGCTGTCGTTATACTTGTCTGTGCATGATTAGATGGGCTCGTCTCAGGTCGTGGTGAACGTACAGTGCATGGTGAGTTTATCACCCGCGTTAGCAGGCACCTGCGTACCGCCTAATTGCGTGCCTATCCTGGATCTCAGCATGATGTGCGCTTCGACCAATCTCTGACCTACCCTCGAGAGTACTGGCCCACGTGCACCACTGTCCCGCATTGGCGCCGCAGTTCCTACACCCGTCAGCTTCGATCGTAACATCAGGGGTGTGCGATGCGTACGCAGCAGGATCCGCAAAAGACACGGCAAGAGCCTGGATCAAATCGCCTCCGCTAGTGCCCATGCCCGGCCATAGAGCCAGACGGTCCTTCTGCGGGCTTGGTGTCTCCGGGAGGACAAGGGTTGTGTTAGCCTCTCGGATCCATGATGAGGTAGGTCCGAGGGAGAAATAGGGCCCGAAGCCGACTGTGGTCTGGCAGGAGGCCAGGCCGAGGAGCGAGAGAAGGGCGAGCGCTTTGGTGGCGGACATGTTGCTTGTGAGAGTTGGTTGTGCTGAGATGAAGCAGCCAGGACTCGGAGGATCTGGGTTTATAATCCCTAGATCAAAGGGTGAACGGCGTATGCCGTGATCAGCGCTGTGTCAGGCTAATTTCTCCGTTCTGGAGCAGTTTGATCCTCCAATAATACAAGGGTGATGGTCGAGTCCACCAGGGGTCGGATGTTTCATATTGTTTCGGTTCTGCAGAAGTCCGTCGTCCTTGAGATACATTACATGGATTAGATCAATAACGACCTGATCACTTTATCTATTCAACACGCTAGTATCAATCTTGACATGTTGATACATGTTCGTTTCGGATAGACTCCGCACCTGAGAAGCCATCACGGTGCATGGGCAACTTGTAAAGCACTGAACCTCCGACTCTTCCGACACCATCAAATGTCATAGCCCCTGGGACTCTAATCAACTTCTCCAGACGAATTCTCCCGACATGATGGTGGCACCCACAAATCCGGATTCTCCGGAAAGAAACCAGACGCCCGTAGCGTCACTCCCCCAAGAACCTTCCTGGCCTCTACGTCCATCGCAACACAAAAGTCGAGCGGATACGCATAGACATTGCCTAGGGAACCCGCACGGTAGAAGGGGAACGCTTGCTGAAGGCGACGCGTTGCCCCCCAGTGCTTGTCATAGCTAATTGTCTACATGTCGATGTAAACATGGGACATGTTGGTAAGGCCGAGTTCACGGCATGCTTTGATGACTTGTGGATCTTTCTCGACAACTGCCTCCAGACTATCCTCCTCCTCTTCCCTTTGCATTGGCATAACCCTTCGATATCATTCCATGAGTCGATCTTTTGTGTGGTCAAGTTGACTATGACTTCTGCCACGCCTGTCGGTCCACGTTGGAGTATCGCAAAGGCGCGTCGCTCCGGACGCCGCTCGATGTTCTCTCTGAAGAAGGTGTATTCGGATCTCCACGGCTCGCGGAGGGTGATGGCGTTGAACTTGAATTCTACGCCAAGGGATTCTCCATGCTGACGGATGAGGTTTGCTGCCAAGGTGATTTCGTCCTTCGTTAGGGGATCTAGTTGGTTAGCATGGCCCGGATAGCTGTCTGAGCTGGGCTGAGTACCTAGAGGATGGGTATGTGCCACGTTCTTGTGCGAGGCATCGTAGCACTTGTCTTAGACGTGTCATTATGCTTGTTATGTTTCTTGGAAGCGAGCAAGGTAGTTGGTAGTCGCCGTCTTTTCAGTAGGCGCAATCTGGCATGATGCCATTCTTGATCCCAGGTGAGTGACGTTAGATCAACGGGCACCGATTTCGATCAGACATTTCTGAAAGCTAGAAACGCTTGACAATTCTTGATTTGCCTCATCACAGCGATAGAGACAGCGCTAGCACATAATTGAACGCCGGGCGTTCCAGAGACCAGACTGCTTAGACGATTCTGCAGCAAGCGATCTTAATTTTCTGCTGCGTTGCAATCCACCCGGCTATGAGACGTCAGTCTTGTTAGCCACTGAATTGCAGTACTAGATTGAGATCCATTGGATATGCGTCCTCGCTTACTGGTGAGGGACTAGAAGAGAATATTCTCCGAACAAGCCTACTCATCCCTTGCTACCTAAATAGAAAATCTGCAGGACTTCAGCTGATCTGTGATACCTAAGATCCTGCTTGAATTATGGCAGAAGCATCGACAGTGCGTCCCACCAGAAAAGCCGAGAAAAGTATATGGGAAGGTCAGCTGGTTCATGGTAGCTGGGGCGAAGAACGTATCATTCAACGATCTACCTGATGTCCTAAGATCCTGATTACAGAAAGATGATGTTAGCAATGGCCCCATCTCATGGAATTTCTGTGACGTAGCTTCGCAGCATCAACGTAGCACTGAAAGATACTCAAAAAGCACACTGAGGATCCAACCAAGCTCGGACACTCACCTAGTGCACATACCTATAGTCAATCAAAACCATCCCCTCGACATACTGCTCCCAGCGGATCATGTCCTGGTCATACTGCCAGTTCTCGATCTGCTGCGTGATGCACTGCATGGCAGCATCGGTCAGTCCCTTGAGAGAATTATCCTCGCTGATGATCTCGAAAATAAGATCGCCTACCTGCTTGTCGGGAAAGGAGTCGCGGTTGGGGGAGAAGTTGCCCTGGCCGGCTTGCAGGATCTTCACCACTTCTTTGAGCATGGTCAAAGCAGGGAGGTCGGGGTGATCGGGGCGAATCAGAAGGAAACTCCTGTAGATGCCGCTGGCCTTGTGGATTTTGAACTTGGGCTGTCTCGGCATTGTGTGAGGTGCTCGGTGGACGTTTGTAGTTTTCGTAGTTGAAGTCAGGTTGTTTGAGTTCAGATACTGAGTTGCAGAGATAGAGTAGGAGTGTAAGAGAACCGAAGATGATGATGATGGTGTATTGATAGCATGACAGTGGTATTTATACTGGATATTGAGACATATCTTCGAGGTATAGGGTTGTTATCTTAGACACACAACAATGGATTGTTCCTATGTTCTAGACACTTCATTATCATGGCATTGTGCCACAATCCTTTCAACTACCTTTGACTACCCAAGACTGTAGACAAACAAAAACGTTCCCATCAATGGTGGAGGACAAAGGGTTGGTCTCTGACCACGACATCCGAGACCGTCGCCCTGACAAAGAAGTGCCAACTGGGTTCAATACCCGTTCAAGGGTTCTCCAAATTCGATTTGCCGAATAAGGAGATGATTCAAGCCCCGAGGCCATGTCGAAGATCCTTGGACTCCACCCGTTGCAGGCATAACGATGTGGCTGGGCCTCGAAGTAGCTGAGGTCTTTTCCAGGATATAGGAGACAACCGGAATGACTTGGAGAAATATCGGCACTTTGTGGCGGCTGTCGCACAGACGTCTTTTGAAAGCAGTCTCAAACAAGGAGTAGACATCGCTCTATAGATGTGGGATCCTGTCACTACGTCAGATCTGCTGATGCATGTTCATGCTATGCTTACTGATCTTATCCCTGGTCAATTCACTCGTCGCAGTCGAGTCTTCCAAGAAAGCATACTCTCTGTTCGGTATCAGTCAACAATAGGCTTTCAGAGTGAGGAATGGTGTCTTTACTGTAGTATATAGGTGCTGCTGGTTTACATGTTAGTCTAGAACTGCAGTTGGCAAATTAATGCCATTGTTTGAATTTAGAGAAAATTGGCCTATATGATGCGTTAGACGGTGTTATAACATCAAAGGCTTTGATTAAATGATGTATAAAGTAGAGGAAAGTAACAGCACGAATTTATATGGAGACAGCAAAAAGGGCAAGCATATCAAAGCGATGAGCAAGGCGCCATGCAGACTAGCCATAGAAAACCATGATAGTACCAATCTGAAGCCAATACCAAACATCACCTACTCCATGTGGTTATACTCCTTCAAGCGCAGATACTGATCGAACTGCCACCAGCCCAGCATTGCCTGGTCATCCTCCCAGTGCGCAATCTGGTGATGGATGTACTCTGTCGTGGCGGCTGTGATCCCTTCATCAGAGTCATTTTCTGTAAACACCTCGAGCACAAGATCGCCTACCTGCTCATTGCGCCGCTCCTGGAAAAAGTCAAGGCTTGGGACGAAACCGACGGCGCAAGCCTCGAGCTTTTCAAGACATTGCTCGAGGATGTCCCGAGGGGGGATGTCTGGATTGGAGAGGCGGAAGATGGCGTAGGCCGATCGAACTTTTTTGTCGCTGTTGAACATCTTCAAATCGTAGAGTTGCCTGAATTGAGTGGATAAGCTGATGATTGAGATGAGGGTGCAGAGAGGGTGCTGAAGAGAGTCAGGGATATAACGCTGGCAGGTCATGGCGAGAATCAACAGTATTTATGGACTGAGTTGAGACATGTTTGGACACTTACACATTGTGTCTAGGACATTGAACATGTAGAATGGAATATAATGCCCAGGAAGCATCTGCAGTGTCTTTAGATACCATAGCACAGTCTCAGACTTCGAGACACCGAGAAAGAACAATGTAATTGTCTAGTAATTGAATAGGCGAGGAACAAAGGCATGGCTCAAAGGAACTGACCACCACTCTGTTTGTAATTCCCAGGCAATGTATGTACAGAATGGAAGACATTTGTCAGATATCGACTTTCTGTTTTGATCGAGGCAGAGGCGAGTGCTGCATCGCTGACTGAGAAGGCCAGCAGATCTGGACGAGGAGCTTCGAACAGGTTGCATGAGGGATATTGGGTATGAGCTTTATTTTTGAGCTTGCAAAGTACCGTTGTCAAATGCAGATGTGAATTCGTATCCAACAAGAACACTCTTCGAGGAAATCTAAGATTGCTGTAGTATGCATGCGAGATTTGGGAACTCAGGCCAACCTGGGGTCCAACGGTGTCTTGCAACCGACCCTGGTTGCTAAACAGTCAGAGTATAAATGTATCAACGTGTAAGGGACCCATACTGCCTGGGTGTGGGCTTGGCCGTGCGACGGACAACAGCAAACCACCTCCTCTTCACCGGATCTCCCGGTTCGAATCCCACCTTCCGGTCCTCCGTCAGCTTCCACAGAACCTGCAGCAAAAACGGCGCCAAAGCCTGGTCGATAACCTCGTCCGGCACCCTCCCAAACATCGCCCTCACAATCTCATGCAGCGTCATGCCGCCCTTCCTCCCCCCCTCCCCCCCCCCCTCACCCCTCCTCCTCCCCTCCTCCCCTTCCTCTCCCCCTTCCTCC